GGTTGCTTTAATTTAGATGTTTCCATAATCCAATGTCTCTCAGTAGTTATTGTATTTTGCACACTAGCATTTTAAAAATTCAAAGTTAACCAAACACCACACATGATCCAGACACCCTGCATATTTCCCATCTTTACATGGATTATTCTTTTTATGTTATTTTATTTTTAAAGACTTTACTTATTATTTTAAACTATTTGTGACTGCCTGTATCCATTTTTTCTTTATTTAGCATCTAAGCACATTTTGAAACATACTGTGCCTTTTTAGAGGTTTTCTGTGTCTGGACTTGCTTTATGAAACACTTGCAGTGTTCTCTGACCATGTGAGACAAATCTTAAACTGCTATGTCAGCCATTGTGTGGCTTAGTTTAGTGCATGGCACTGGTGATTGGTTCTAGCCTGCAGGTAGACACAGCTGGTAGTTATGTCTCTGCACCGCCAAACAATGGCCTGCCTGTGAGACTGCAGGACTTGGAAGCCACCACTGGCTCCTCGTCAGAACTTTCCTTAGCTTTTTAAGGCCCTGTGTTTGGATATTTGAGCCCCACATTGGGCAACATATATAACTGGATTTTTCTTTGGGCTGCCAGCTCACAAAACAATAACAACAAAAAGGGGGAGATTTCTTATTTATTATAGAAGTTTGACCTTTAGCTTAGGCTTGTCCTCAGCTAGCTCTTATAACTTGAATTAACCCATTTACATTAATCTACATTCCATCACATGGTGTTAGAATCTTCCATCTTGCACCTTCTGTTTCTTCTCCATGTCTCCAGGCTTCTCCTCTGTGCCTAGATTCATCCTCCTCTTCCTTTCTCTCTCTGGACATCCTGCCTGTACCTCTTGACAAGCTATTGGCCATTCAGCATTTTATTATACCAATCACAGTAATATATCTTCACACATTGTACAAATAACCCACAACAGTCATTTCTATGAAAAAGGCATGAGGTAACAGCAGTCAATAGTGCAGGACAAGAGGCAAAAAGGAACACAAAACCTTCTTAGAGATGAGACACAATCAAAAGGGAGTGGGGCACCTTGGTTGCAAAATTTAAAGAGACCATGTGGGAAATGAGAGGCATGCTTCCTTCAAGCTACATGGCCTTCATAATGCCCAAAATCACTAGGTAGGCTTCTGTGGAAGAAAAGTCAGAAGTCTTTCCCACTTTTGGACTTTGAAATCTGCAGTAGCCTCTTGTCAGGCAAGAGGTACTTACTGGTACAGTTGTGGCAAAAATGTTAAGGGAATCACCACTTATTTCTGGTTATTCTGAGTCTCACTCCCTAAGAGTGAGTTAATATCTAATGCTGTGAACCTGGTCAAAGGCTTATGGCTGGGAAGGCCATAGGCACTGTGAGTAAATTGACTACTCTTGGTTTCCTAAACAAACACGTTATAAAACTGTCTCCATAATATTGGCATTAATAACTACAGACTGGTACAGTCTTCAAAGATGTTTCCATTTGCAGTTAACTCAATTAATATAGAGATCAATAGTCAAAATGTGGAGAACATGTGACTGTTGAATGCTCAGCCATACATGTGACACCCATATTTCCCCTCTAAGACATAGAGAACATTGGAAAGATGTAAGAGCTATATAATAGGGAGAAAACTGTGAGATGCTGTCTTTTGAACATGACATGGCCATGACACTTATGAACCCACAACAGCCTGCATAGGATTTGAACAAGACACCAGTTATTTTCCACAGCCATGCACAGCCTCTTTTCCTATAGCAGAGCTTTGCTGGCCCACCTTTTCTGTCTTTCCAAAGTAAATTGCTACACTCTTACCAATAATGGTTGCAAAGCCAAGCTTGATTCATTTTACCTTTTTGCTACTGGTTTTCCAATTTGTTTTGCTTGAAAGCCTCCATCCTTAGTCATTGGGCAACCTCCTCTTTGTCTTTAAGGAGTCAGCTAGAGGGATGTTCTGATAACAAAACCATCCACTCTGGGTTTCTGCATGCTGACTAAAGTATCCCTCCATGACCTAATGGCATTGTGTGCTTATTTTCTATTCCAACAACTCAGGGACTTGAAAACCTAAACATTGACCAACCTTTACTGACTGGTCATTGCAGGTGATCTTACTCATATTTGTGACCTTTGTTTCTAGACAAATTACTGGAAACAGATTAAATACTCAGAAAAATCAACTGAAATGAATCCATAAGTTTATGTAAGCTTAGAAAACAAAGACAACAAAAATGGTTTCATTCTAGAAATAAGAAAATAGTATATGAGAAAGAAAGTGTATTCTGAGATTGTTGAGCAAGCTAAGTTAAACCATTAAGAAATAATAAAAAACCTGGTTTTGTCAGTTATTTTCCCTACCCTGACCAATTTTTAATATATTCATGTCACTAGGAGGGTCAATGGTGTCTAATAGAAATTATTCAGAATATTACAAGAGAGATTTCACTTTTGTGGAAAGTGTTAATGCAGGAATTTATATGAACAGGAAATAATATTTGTGCTGAGAAATCATATAATTTACACTGGGTTTTAGACCAAAAGCAATGAAATAATACATTTTAAAATATTATTTAAAAACAGATTCAGAGTACTTCTAGATGCAAGACAGTGTTTTGAAAATATTAATCAATTTAGAGAATTTTATGTGGCAACTTTAAAATCAGAAATAATATTGTGCCTTGACATTGCATTGATACCATTTCCTTACACACAGCAGAAAGATTTCAGAGTGGATGGTAACCTGAGAAAATGTAAAAGATGTCAGCAGGCCTAAGGAAGGAGGTCCAGTCGGCAACAGTAAGAAGGACTGAGATATTAATCATCTCACTTGTGCTTGGAAAAATGGAAAGAGCATTATAACCAGGACATTTTGGTGGAATTTTTATGGCATTGGAGTACCACAGACTTTAGCAAAAGTATCAGATAAAGCACAGACAAGAGGAAATGGAATGCTCGTCTATTGGAGATAAATCTAGGCTTGTTACAGCATAAGGCACACATTGGAATAAAGTCTTGAAGATGTTCTCACCTCTACCCCCCTGACAACTATAACACACAGACATGATTAACCACAGTAGAAGACTTTTAAATGGAAGACGAAGTATAGACAGGTTGAATGTCATACAATGACAGCTAGTGACAATGACTCAGAAATAGCAGATGGAGCCCATGTTTATAGATCATCAATAGCAAGGAACCTGCAGACGCTAACAAGCATAAATCTAATCAAAGGTCCAACACACCTTCACATTTGAAATGAATAGTGTAGGAAAGCAAGATTAAATATTAATAAATCATAGGAAGATACCAGCCCTCAACAGGTACCAGATTTTTATCAGTAGATTTGAATGAAGCCCATAGAAGGCCTGCTCCCCACTTTCACAGGTGCCAACAGTTAGGGAGGAATGGATGATTCTTTGGAAGATAATATTAGCATTTAAATGAACTTCTTAGAACTCTAACAAAATTAAATTTATACATGAATACATCATCATTTTATTAGTTCTTTTTGAGAAGTTTGTACTTATTTGATCATATTTACTCCCCTCTTCCAACTTTTCTAAGATCTACCCTACATTCCCTACATACCCATTTTTATGTTCTTATGTTTTTTAACCCATCAAGACTAATTTGAACCCAGATATTTTTGGATGCAGGGTCTTTCATTGAGGGTGGCAGACCTACCAGAGGATACACTCTTAGGAAAAAAAAAAATGACCCTCCCAGCAGCTAACAACTGCCAATAGGTCTTCAACTAGGATTGATACTTTGTATCTAGCTCTCCTCTCCATGCTGGGATTTGTTCTGGCTTAGACTTGCACAGGTCTTGTGCATGCTGTCACAGCCACTGTGAGTTCCTATGTGCAGCTGCCCTGCTGTGTCCTCAAGACACCGATTCCTTGCAGTCACCTATTGCATCTGACTCTGACTCTTGCACTCTTTCAGGCCCCTTTTCCTCAGATGATCTCGGGCTGTGGGAGGAGGGGTTGTAGTATAATATGTTCCTTTTAGGGCTTACCATCTTGCAGTCTCTTACTCTCTGCACCTTGGCCAGTTCTGGGTCTCTGCGTTAATTATCGTCTACTGCAACCAGAAGCTTCTCAGATGCGGGTTGAGCGATGCATTAATCTATTACTATAATAACTCGTTAGGAGTCAGTTTAATACTACTTTCATTTAGCAGAGTAATAGGTTCTGCTGCTTTGTTACAATTGTCCTTGAAAGTGCAAATCCATATTAAATACAACCTTCAATTAAAAATGATCCTCTCCTCACTTTTGATAAGGAATGGCAGACAGTGCCTTAGCAATCCAGCCACTGCCAACTTGGCACATGATAAACACTGCGATGATGTATTAAATATTAAAATATTTGGATGAAATGACTTTTGCACGGGCTGTTTGAGACTAGAGAGGCTCTTGATTACTTTTACATTTGCATTAAAAAGACAACTGGGACAATGGATCCTGTGTTAACCGTGTGTTGACCTCACAGACATGTCCACAGGCTTATGCATGCCAGTGTATATATTATAGAAATTGCATGTACAACGGGTGGGGGGGAGTAATAGAAAAAACGCATTGGATTCACAAAGAAGCAGCTAAGGTAATCTCTTTACCCCCCTCCACTTTTTCCTTCTTCGGCTTCATCAGTCTGTCCCTCAGCCCTGAGGAAGGCTATGGGCTGCAGACTCACTGCTGGAAGGAAGAGTGATTGAGTTGGAGCTGAGGTCAAGGTAAATCTCTGCTCCCAGTCATTGCTGCAGCCTCCCCTTCCCTTTCTCTAGCTCCTCAGCAGCTTCTCCTGGTGCAAATCCCCTGCAAAGACACCGAAGCAGCCGCTTAAGTTGCCGGGCGCAGGGCTCCGGAGGCATTGGCTCAGGAACTTTTCACGTCATTCCCGGCTCCGGAGCCCCTAGTCGCGGCGGCGCAGCCTTTCCCACCGCGGATCCCGGTGCTCATGGGGCAGGCGGAGACAAGCTTGCAGCACTGAGCAGAAGAGGACCAGTCCGTGATGTCCAGCACCAAATTGGAGGATTCCCTCCCTCGCCGCAACTGGTCATCTGCTTCAGAGCTGAATGAAACTCAAGAGCCGTTTTTAAACCCCACGGACTATGACGACGAGGAATTCCTGCGGTACCTGTGGAGGGAATACCTACACCCGAAAGAATATGAGTGGGTCCTGATCGCAGGGTACATCATCGTGTTCGTTGTGGCTCTCATCGGGAACGTCCTGGGTGAGTCTGGTTTCGGGCAACCCTCCAGAAGGGCTGTCACCTCCCCTCCGCCCAGGCTGCAAGGCTGGGAGACCCCTCCCTTCTCCTGGGGTGCAAACAAAGAGGTCGCTGCTCTTGGGTGAGGTTTCTAATTTTTTTTTTTTTTTTTTTGGTTAATTTTTTTTTTTTTTTTTTTGGTTAAGTTTTCTGATTTTACAAACTAGGAACGCTCTGTAGCATGGTTTTTGTGTTTGTCTGCAGAGAAAAGAGGGAAACTGTTTCTGTTTGAGAACCTAGATTACCAGTGCAAGGAGAGGGACAAGGACCTCCAGGTGGATTCACTGAGTGTAGGGGAATCTAAGGCTTCTGTGCGGGTTGGGTGGGTTTACTGGGGAAAGCTTGCATCCGGAAAAGAAAAAAAAAAAAATTGATGAAGTCATAAGGCCTTCTTGAGCTCGGTACTATGCCATTTAGCAAGGAGGCTTAGGCACGGGTCAAGAAAGTGGTGACGAAGGGGCAGAGTAGAGTGGAGGCTGAGGCAGGCAGAGGAGTGCGCTCAATCACAGAAGCGGGATTAAACAGAAGCTGTGTCTAGAACAGCAGGAGGAAGGTGGAGCGTCCAAGAAAAGTGCTCCGGAGATAGTCCTCATCACTCATTCATTCATTCATTCATTCATTCGTCCGTCCGTCCGTCCAACAAACCAATACATATTCACCCCCAAAGAGTGGTTGTTACCAGTTTCAGAAACATATTTGTACCAACTGATTCCTTTTTCTTACAATGAGACTAAGCTTAATGTCAGAGTCTGCCTTGCTCTGTGTAAACACAGGTTTTCTTGCTCGCTCATTACTGTTCTCCCCACAATTTCTGAGGTATTAAGTGAAGGGGAAGGAAACTATGGGGGCTTTGGTGGTGTATTCAGTAGGTCAGGAGGGGGATCTCTTTGAAGAAACGGAGCTTCCTTCGGGAGGCAGCTACGACTTAAATTGTGAATGGAAGGGGTATGCACCTTGATGAATGGAGAACAGGAGGCTTTTCAAATGCAGAGGGCAGTGTGGAGGAAGTCTGGTGAAAATGACAGGAGGAGGCAGGCAGCCTGGAGATGGTGCTGTCTCCCCAATAAAAAAGGGGGAGAGTTGAGTGACATGAAACGGGCTGGGAAGCTGGGCAGTAAAAAACAAAGATTGTGGCTGCAATAACAGACAGTAAGGAACTCACCGGGTTCTCAACACTACGACAGCTATACTTCTCCTCCAATTCACAGTGTTGATAAGCTGGCAGGATGTGACTGAGAGGGTCTCTTTAGAGAGAATGTGAGTCATGAGACAAGAAATCTCGGAAAACTTTAGCTTGCTCCTTATTATTTCAGGATATTTTGCTCTTTTGATTTTTTTAAATATTAAAAATAAAGACCATCTTCTTAGTCCACAATGAAAGTGAATGGACACCTGAGCAGGTGTGATTCAGCCTCCCGTTATAAGAATAAGTCTTTTAATGGTTGTGTCTCTCTGGGATCCCACCTTGTCAGCTTCAGATTCAGTGATAAACAGCACTATGAGCATAGCAGCAATTACTGCATTGGTCCATACTTATTGCTAAGTGAATGATCAAAATTGAACATGCATTGAGTATCTACTTTTGTGAGACCACTTGACATATACTCTATTGCTTAAATCTTAAAATAAACCACATTAGAAGATAAAACAATGATGGCTCATTAGAGGACATGATTCAGATTCAGTCCCATCTGTTCTGACCTCAGATCCAGAGTTCTCAATTGTAATTCTACTCTAGAGCTAGAAAGCATGTAGAGAATAGATTCTCTGTTCTGGGTTGTCTGCAAAAAGCCTATTGGATGGGTTCCCTTTTCTCCCCTAGACCCATGTTCACTGCCAGTAAAGTTCCACTACCACTCACTTCACAAAACAAAACAAAACACACACACACAAAAAAAAAAACCTGCTTAGGAAGGGATGTTATTGCTCTTAAATTCAAGAAAAATATTTTTTTTAAGAAAAAGCAGGAATAGCTATAAACCATCACCATTTCCCTTCCCCAGTTTCATCTCAGGTTTAGTATTTGTGATGAATGTGCTCTTCTTTGATGTATTCCAGTGCTTTGCATAGACTCTGTGATGCAGTCTTCATGGCCTGATTGCAGAGTTCCCATATATATATATATATATATATATATATATATATATATATATACATATATATATATATATATATGGGAAGAGTAACATGTCTACACAAAGGCTACTTCATAATGTCAATGAAGACAGCACTGTCCACAGCCTCAAGTCTTTTAGTACCCAGTTCCATTCAGCTTAATAGAAAGATTTACCCAAAGAATTCTAGTCTCTAGACACTGACAGTTATTTCCCTGGGGACTGAAATACACCTGAATAACACTGAAATCTTCTCTGGGTGAACTGAAGCTCATGCTTTACTGACACATTCCCTGAAAGATGGTGAGGTTTGGGTTTGACATTTAAACAAATGAGCACCACCATTACTTACAGACTTCTTGATCTTTGATGTCACTGTCAAATCTGCAAAATGGATTAGAACATGAATTACCTTTATGCTTCATGGTACAAATAGCTCTATTTGGCATATCAGGAGAAGTGACACTACTCATGTAAAATAAAGGGATGCCACGTGTATGAAGGTGACATGGCACAGTACAGGCAGCAGATGTAATTATTGACCCTCAGGTTCATACAACATGTGCACTTTCATGTAGCTGATTGCTTGGAAAATATCAACCTTGTTGAACTTACAAATGCAAGCCATTAGCTAGAAGTCCTTTCTCTGACAATGTTCTTTTGTAAAGTGATGCAGCAGAATATTGTCTAAGCATAATAGCAAAAGTCTTGATCACTCAGCCCCTTCTTTTTCCTCCTGACAACCTCTCACCATCATTATGTCCCCACTTCATTATAAGGATGCTCCTTGCAGAGATAGAAAGCAGTTTCCTGGAAACAAAAAATACAAAGTCATTCACAAAAGGTACAATTACTGTAAATGGGAGTTGATGAGTGTTTGTGTTCCAGCAGAAAGTCATATGCATGTCTAATTATGGAACTTTAAGTCCTAGGAAGCAGTAGGTGGTAAGGTTCTATATCTTATAACTAAGTCTACTCATCTACTTATTTAACTGATATATTTTGAGTAATATTTTATTATGAAATTGTTATAAGAAGGAAAATGCTTTGGAACACTAAATTAAATAAATTAGATGTAATCTTTAGTCCTTATTCCTTGATAAGAAACTGGAGGAAAGATGTTTCTACTCAAATGTTAAATGCCCATGAAAATATTCAGTTCTCTGGCTCTCTTCCTCCATGTTCAATGATCTTGTTTCACCTGGGAAATTTCAAACTTCCCTATCATTACCTCAGTATGGAAAGAAAAAACAATCCAAACAAGGGACATTCACCTAGTTGTGCTTCCTGTCGTCTGTGTGTCTGCTATCCAGTTCTGAACTATCCAACTCTTTCCTCTTCTAATTACAAAGAAGTTGATAATAGTTGCTTTTAAAAAGTCATATCACAACTAATATATAGATAATTTCCCCTGATATAAAGAGGAATGTGCAAACATTATTCTGAAATAGTAAATATGGATTAATGTCATTTTTTTGTTCTCATTGTTCCTTTACTTCCACTAGTGAAGTGCTACCTCTTGAAGTTTGTAAGCATCTTCTGCTGCCATAGCCTTTCTTGATCTGTGTATCACTTTCAGACTTCTCCTCTCACCCCATTCCTCAACAGTGTTTCTCTAAAAGAAATGAGTAAAATGGCATTGGCCACAATACTCTCCCTTCCCATATCAGATCCATACACCCATCCCCTTGGTATTGTCTGCTTACTATTGCCTTTTTGTCTTTCCATGAACATTCTTCCTATTTTTTTCTCACAGATTACACTTGTTTGCAGTATTCTTACTTGTTTGTTTGTTTATTGTAGTTTCTGTCAGTAATTGGTCTATCATGAATAATGTTCTAAATAATTATTTATAATATGTTGATTCAATAAGGTTAACTACATTGCCACTTAAGGATTTAACCAATAAGAGTTAACTCAAATTCTATTCATCAGGTGGTAGGTAATGTAGTTGCTTTCTAGAGTTAATTTTTATATCCTAGAAGTGGTACTAGCAAAGCTACAGGTCTATTCCCAGCTTGCTTTGCAGTTAGGTTGATACAGTGTGATGTTATTAGATGAGACCCAATAATCATGGGCATGCTTGTCACATTATAGTTTGGTCAAAGAATCAGGATATTGTTTTCCTTAGTTCACTTTTGTCCTACCATGGAAACTTTAGGATATACACATCAACTTACCTGACAATCAAAGATAAAGGAAGATAAAGCCAAATAAATAAATAAGAAATCTAAAAGGGTGCTTAATTTAAAAATCAAACACAATGTCTCAGGTTTCTCGGATTTTTTTCCTGATTTTATTAGGAGATCATAACTAATGTAATTAAAGAATTTTCATCATCCAGGATCTTAGTTATGCTTGAAATTTTCCCATGCTATCATTCTAGTTCACTTAGTTCTCACTGGGCTCTTCACATTCAAGACCACCCTCTGCTGATGCTGCTTCTCTAATGAAAGAGAATCCCTCTGTTGTTTGATTCAGCATTCCAGAGTTCCTTGCTCTGCTAGGGTACTATATTTGATCAGTAAAGGCTCACGGGGATGGATCAGTCAGTAACATGTGACAAGTATGATTAGTGAATATCTCCCCTTCCTTTTCTCACTGTAAAGGAAAATGCAGACCATTTATTGAATACGTGAGCCAAGCCCATGTGCTAGGCTCCCTTCACATATGTTTCAATGCCACCATACAATCCAATTAAAATGCAGAAATCAATAACCATTTTAACAAATGAGGGGGGGAAACTGCAATTTTAACTAATCTGAAATTTCAGGTATGCAGTAAGTGGCAGCTTTAAGTCTCAGATATCGATTTGTGAGTATCCATGCTCCATCTTCTAGTACTTCACAT